CTCGGGTTTGCATCTCTACGGCCGGGAACGCGCCGGCGGCCGGCGCCCCGGGCGAGGGCGCTGCCGAGGCGGCGCGGGGAGTGCTCAGTGTTGGGGAGGGATTCTGATGGTTACTGCTGTGTCGGACGGTTGTCCAGGTCGAGCTGTGCAGTGCTCGCGATGTGATATTGCTTGGTGTCACTCACAATACAGCGAAGTCAATGCATCATTCGCTTTGCAAGTTACAACACGGTCTACATTTGGGACCAAAATTTTTCACATTTTTATTTTTTCAAAATAAACTTCATGTCATTGCAAATCGACATGCAAAAAATTAGAAAGGTGTTCTTTCTAAAAGTTCCTCATTTTCCCGCAAACAAAATGGGTTTCGGAAGGGTTGATACGACCCCAGCACGCCGTTTCGCTTCTAATAGAGCTAGAGCCTCGCGGAAAAAACGAGCGTGTGTGCCGTTACAAGTCGCAGCGATTGGTACCCGATTTTAAGGTCTCAGGTCAACCGGTAGCGTCTGAGGTCAGGTCACGTGACTGAAGTTACGGGTTCGGTTTTTAGTAAATAACTTCGCAAAAAATGGCCGCAGAGCCGCGACTTTGGCATCATTGTGTTCGCCTAGCTCAGGTGCATCGAATGGTATACTTTTTGCTAGTGTGAGATCAACTTAAGTAGTTGACCTCGGGTTAAGGTCAGGTCAGAGCCCCTCAGGTCACGAAGCTGGGCAAAGGGTATCATATGGCATACCATTCGATTCGGAAGGTCTTCCCGAGTCCATTGGTGGCTTTCCCGACTCTCTAGCTCCATTTGATCGGGAGTTATTGACGAAAAACTCGTACGACCCTAGTGACGTCATAAATGACGTCACGCAAGGTTAACAATGCAAAAGTAAAGCATTGGACTTTGCAAGGAGTGCATGAAATCACGATACCATGTACGTGGGATAGTTTTAGATCATTCTCGGCGCCAAAATAACAGTTTTTATATTTTCCCATTGATTTATAACAGTGGTGTCACGTGACCGACCTGACCTCATGTAACCTTGAAAAATTCCCAGATATACAAGTTGTGAGACCTCTGGAGGACACCATGTATGCGTCCTGTAACTTTCATCTCGGACAGCTATGGTCATTGGCGTCCAAATCTAAGTCAGAACCAAACAGTCTTTTTCACCCTCGCGCTTATAGGAAAGAGGGTTGGATAAACCCTCTTTTCACTTTTTTCGGATGACTCAGACTTAAATTGAAATTTCAGTAACCCGTGATGTCACTAGGCAGCTTTACCACGCCATTTATAAGCTCCCTCCCGAAATCACTATTCGAAACCGTTATCGTGACGTAAAATAAATACATTTATAGAAAGAACACCTTCCTAATTTTTGGCATACTTCTTAACCATGAGCCACATATTTTTTAAAGAAATAAAAATTCAAAAAAAAAATTGGTCCCAAAGTCCAAAAATACAAATGAAAGAAAACTCGATATGTCATATATCAAAAATAGCGTATTTTTCAAAATTTCAAAAATACACATTAATCTCTGTTTCATTGCAAGTTCAATGTAATATAACATTTGGCATTTGAATAATCCGTCTTAGAGTTACAGCCCGCCAAACTTAGCGCTGCAAAGCAAGATCCAAAAAATGTTATACACCATAACTCAACAAATACTTATCTGATAAGCCTGAAATTGTTACAGGTGGATTCAGAGCCCCTGATTACCCCTGAGACCAATTCTCGTCAAATTCCGAGAGATGAGGGTGTCAAATTGGAAAAAAGTGGTACGATCTATCGTGGAATGCCCCACCTATTAAGTCCGAATTCTTGTTTTGTAATTGAATGACTATGAATATGATCGGCAATGATTAAACGCTAATAATTGCGGTCGCCAGGAAATTACTTGGAAGATTTCAGGCACCATGGCATGAGCTTCAAAATCTCGCAAGAGACAAAGTTGTGCACATTTCTTTAGCGACAGTGTCAGTACCAATGCATAATACGATAAATCAGGGGCGGATCCAGGAAAACTCCAAGGGGAGGGTCATGAATCGAAGTGGTGCCCCTACCTATACCCAAAATTAAAAACTCAACGGATTTCGTCCACTTCATTTTGGTGGTGCCCCCATTTTCAGTTTTTTTTATTTTTATTTTTTATTTTTAGTCAGTATCTTAACCCTCGCTGGACCTATTGGTTTTCTACATACGCGCCGGCCGAGGGGGGGGGGGGGGGCGGGTACGACCCCCCCCCCTCGCCGTTTCGCCCCTGGTGGAGCTAGCGCGTCGCGGAAAAAACGAGCGTGTGCGCCGTTACGAGACGCAGAGATTGGTACCCGATTTTAAGGTCCTAGGTCAACCGGTGACCTCTGAGGTCAGGTCAAGTGCCCCAGGGTACGGTTCAGTTTTTGGTGAATAACTTCGCAAAAAACGGCCGCAGAGCCGCGATTTTGGCAGCATCGTGTTCGCCTCGCTCAGGCGCGTCGAATGATATACTTTTTGTCCGGGTCAGGTCAACTTTGGATGTTGACCTCAGGTCAAGGTCAGGTCAGCACCCCCAGGTCACGAAGTTGGTCGAAAGAGGTCATATCGCATGTCATTCGATTCGGCAGGTCTTCCTGAGTCCATTGGTGGCTTTCTCGACTCGCTAGCCCAATTTGATCAAGAGTTATTGACGAAAAACTAATATGACCTTGATGACGTCATAAATGACGTCACGCAAGGTCAACATTGCAAAACTGACGCATCTAACCTTGCAAGGAGTGCATCAAATCACGATTCTGTGTGCTTGAGATAGTTGGAGATCGTTCCCGGCGCCAGAATAGCAGTTTGAATTTTTCCCCATTGACTTATAATGGTGAGGTCACGAAAATGACCTGACCTCATATGACCTTTAGGAAAAATCCGAGATATACAAGTTGTGAGACTCATAATGGATACTAGATCCTGCAAGTTTCATTTCCCTGTGACATCTCCTCTGGCAGTGAGGGCGTTGCGAAGTTGCGACATGTGAAGACCGTGCAGAGGTTCACTTATGACGTCATAGGTCAGTGACCTGACCTGACCCAAAAATGCGGTTGGTGTCAAAAGATGCGGCTTGGATCAAAGGTCAGGTATGCCAAGTTTCAGCTCTCTATCGCCAGCGTGTTCGGAGCTATCGCGAAAAAACCCTATGGGGGGGGGGCGGCACCCGCCCCCCCCCCCTCGGCCGGCGAGGGGGGGGGGGGCTCTTAGCCACAACCACATTTACCAATTGTAAGCAAGCATATGTGAATGCGCTATGTGTATATATGTTGTGGACGCTGAGTAGTGAGTACAGGAACGTTATCAGGTAAGCAAATCGTTGTCAGTCCGACGAACTTGACCCTGGCGTCTCAAGGGTCTGTCCTTGACACTTCAGGCTTGTCAGGGGCACCAAAGTCCTTCCAGGGACACCACAAACCTGTCAGGGGCACCTACGGCCTTGTAGGGGCGCCACAGGCCCGCCAGGGGCACCACAGATCTAGCAAGTATACACGACAGGCCTGTCAGGGGCACAACGGGCCTGTTGGGCCCCTGAGCACCCCTAGGGGCAGGGGCACCACAGTCCTTCCAGGGGCACCGCAGGCCTGTCTGTGAGGGGCACCAGCGGCCTAGCAGGGGCACCAGTCAACACAGGCCTGCCAGGGGCACCACAGACCTGCCAAGGGCACCAGAGGCCTGCCAGGAGCACCACGGACCTCGCAGGGGTAACTTGGGCCTGTCAGGGCCCAGGGGCACCACGGGCCTGTCGAGAGGCACTTCAGGCTTTTCAGGGGCACCATAGTCCTCTCCGGGCGCAGGGGTAGCAGGGGCACCAGAGGCCTGCCAGGGGCACTACAGGCCTAGCAAGGGCACCACTGGTCTATCAGGGGCACCACGAGCCTGTCATAGCCAGGCATCTCAGGCTTGTCAAGGCCCAGGGGCACCACAGGTCTGTGAGGGGCACCAGCGACCTAGCAGGGGCACCGGTCAACACAGGTCTGCCAGGGGCGCCACAGACCTGCCAGGGGCACCACAGACCTGCCAGGGGCACCAGAGGTCTGCCAGGGGCACCACCGGCCTCGCAGGGGCACCTTGGGCCTGTCAGGGGCACCACGGGCCTGCCGAGGGGCACTTCAGACTTTTCAGGGGCACCAGTCCTCTCCGGGCGCAGGGGCACCAGAGGCCTGCCAGGGGCACCAGCGGCCTAGCAAGGGCACCAGAGGCCTGCCAGGGGCACCACAGGCCTAACAAGGGCACCACGGGCCTGTCAGGAGCACCTCAGGCTTGTCAGGGCCCAGGGACACCACAGTCCTTCCAAGGGCACCGCAAGCCTGTCAGGGGCACCAGAGGCCTGCCAGGGGCACCACAGGCCTAGCAAACCACTGGCCTGTCAGGGGCACCTCAGGCTTGTCAGGGCCCAGGGACACCACAGTCCTTCCAAGGGCACCGCAAGCCTGTCAGGGGCACCACAGGCCTGCCAGGGGCACCACAGGCCTAGCAAACCACTGGCCTGTCAGGGGCACCTCAGGCTTGTCAGGGCCCAGGGGCACCACAGTCCTTCCAGGGGCATTACAAGCCTGTCAGGGGCACCAGAGGCCTAGCAAGGGCACCACAGGCCTGCCATGGACACCACAGGCCTGCCAGGGGCACCACCGGCCTTGCAGGGGCGCCTCAGGCCTGTCAGGGGCACCACGTGCCTGCCGGGGACACTTCAGGCTTGTCAGGGGCGTTACAGTCCTGTCAGGGTCCAGGGGCACCACGCCCGTGGTGTCCCTGCTAGGCCTGTGGTGCCCCTGGCGGTCCTGTGGTGCCCCTGTCAGGACTGTGATACCCCTGATAGGCCGGTGGTGCCCCTGGCAGGTCTTTGGGCCCCCGGGCCTCAAGGGGGGGCCATGACCCATGTGACCCCCCCCCCCCTTGGATCCGCCACTGCGATAAATTGATAACTCGCAGTCGTGAGTTGCAGCACCGTTGCTGCATCGCAATGCATATTGTATGCTATCAGTGTTCATGTCATTCCATATCGGTATCATTTTATTATTCACGAACCACAACCAGGTCGCCTTGCAAGACATACAGGCTACAACAATGCAGCGGCAAGTTCAAGGACGCTGCAGACGTTATGGCGAAATAATTGCACAGCGAATCGCGTGATCGCACATTGTGGTCTCCAGTCGGTGGAAGTTACGCTCTAAATCCGCTGTGCGCGGTCACAGCGAAGGCCTGTGGCAGCGTGTCCTCCAAGCTTCAGAGCGGGCTGATATTTTTAGTATATCTCAACTACGGACGCCGTCTGTCCGTGAAATAATTCTGAACTCTTGTATTTATTGAAGGGAGACATACTAACAGTTTACACAGACCTTCGTACCTACTCATATTTTTTAGACATTTACTGAACAAGTGTATTTCCAAGCACACAAGGCATGACAATCTACCATGCACTGCACGCTGCGTGACCATCTTGACTTTACTATAGACCGCTATAGGGCTTTTAAGGTCTTTACCCAACAGCTAATGCCTAACGGTAGCATCACAGCATGCCTAAAATAATGTTTGATTCATAAACAATTAACGTGTATGAAAATGGATCATCTACGAGTGTATCTTAAAGCAATAAAAAGTATTACATCCAGAAATGAAAATATAATCAACGGCACCCAGCGTAAAACACATTGGAATAAGTTACAAAAGTTGAATGGGAGCACCTGCTCCTCCTCAGCCCAAATCGGCCGCACTGGTGGCGCTTCCCACGCCGCTGGAGGTTCCATTCGTCGACCCCACAGAGCTGGCGCCCCCTCTATCACTCGACGACCGATCAGTAGCGCTGGGCGAGCTGGAACCACCCCCACCGTCAGACACGCGCTCCGTCGAGCGTGCGCTATCCACGGCACCGGCGCGGTCCGAGCTCCGAGCGGACCTAGCGACATCTATACAGCTACCAACTCTGCCACCTAGCGGGCGGGCCGAGCTGGTCCCACGCTTCCCACGTCCGCCGCCAGATGTCGGGCCCAGCAGGCCCAGGGCGCGCCGTCGCTCCATCTGGCGAGTGTAGACGGGCTTCTGCTTGGCCCAGAACTGCTGCCGTTTCTCCAGGAAGGTGATAGCCTGTTCGGCATGTTTGACCACCTCGGTTCGACACTGACCACTAAGGGCTGGGTGCTGGATCAGCCTGGAATCATGGGGACGTTATCCATAAATACGAAGACGAAATTAATTCAGGTAAAGCGTAACCGTATGAGGACCAAATGGGTTGACAACATCTTCAGGGTGATCATAGCCTTCAGCGCCATGAATATCGCCTATCATGCGACGCCAAATGTTTTAATATGCGAAACATACCTATGCAACGTAATTTGTGATGCCAATCAGCAGGATAATATGCTTAAAGGGGACACCATTGAGGCCACATCTCATCGCTAACATTGCCATCTCTTGCTGTTCTCAGTTTCTCCACGTAAGTACATACCTCTCCATGTACTCCTTATCAACGGCCAGCTCCTCGAGCACCGGACGACAGTTGGGAGCGGTACGGGCGGCTCGGTCGCTGCCGGCCCGTCCCCGCCCCCGCCCCCGCCCTCGGCCGGAGCCGGCAGTGTCTCTGCTCGCCCCCCGGGACAGTCCACCCGCCGAGCCGGGTTTGGAGGCCGGAGGCGGGGACGGGGTCGGAGCGGCCTCCTCAGTCAGGTCGGGGCTCAGTTTCAGACCCTCCAGCAGCGGCTCGACTCCACTGAAGATCAGGCTAGCCCGCTCTGCGGCGCAAACAGTATCGGAGTTTGTGAGGTGGGAAAAGGAAAAGCAACATCTTAACGTAGTGTGTTATATCTATCTAACATTTAAAACACCATTGATGCAACGATCTTGAACGAGATCGCGATAAAAATCATCGCACATATAAAACTTTTAATCGCCACGTTTGATCGCCACCAATTCCAATGTAGTAGGTATGTGTCCCAAACTGAACCATAAAACCTATAGACACATCCACCTATTCCGCCCTCAGCAAATCAATTCCCTTCGGACCACTGACCTCCAATAGCGTTTTCGATGGCCTCTGTGGCTGTGTCGACTCCGAGCGGAAACACTGCCATGTCGGGTCGGAGTCGGAGCCCACGACTGAAGTACACCAGCGCCATCTCAAACTCTCCGAGAGCGTATAGAGCCTCGGCCTTCTGGGACAAAGCTGCCGGTGGAGAGAGAGGAGAGAGAAATTAACAAGGGGTGATGTTTTGAGGAGAGAGAGAGAGAGAGAGAGAGAGAGAGAGAGAGAGAGAGAGAGAGAGAGAGAGAGAGAGAGAGAGAGAGAGAGGGAGGGAGGGAGGGAGGGAGGGAGGGAGGGAGAGAGAGAGAGGAGAGAGAGGAGAGGAGAGAGAGAGAGAGAGAGAGAGAGAGAGAGAGAGAGAGAGAGAGAGAGAGAGAGAGAGAGAGAGAGAGAGAGAGAGAGAGAGAGAGAGAGAGAGAGAGAGAGAGAGAGAGAGAGAGATCTTCATGACACACAAAACCTTCATCCTAGGCATCCTTTGGTGATTGGTCACCCTCATCCTATGCTAGCTGCTCCTCGGGGCAGGCACACGTCATCACGTGCGATGGGTGTCCGTTAGCGGGCTGGTTGGGTGCACCACGGGGTAGCCGCCCAGACCAATATCCCCCGCTGATTCCTATCATCCCATTCCGGTTCTGAGAAAGTTTTAGTAGACCCATAGAACCTAACCCTACAAAACATACACTCAAACTCAAACACACACTCACAAGCAAACAAACAAACAAACAAACAAACAAACAAACAAACAAACAAACAAACAAACAAACAAACAAACAAACAAACAAACAAACAAACAAACAAACAAACAACAAACAAACAAACAAACAAACAAACAAACAAACAACAAACAAACAAACAAACAAACAAACAAACAAACTGTTGCATCCACGTCTGTATTTGTCTAGGCTTTAGACACTGGGCTTATTTCACGGCATGGCCACGTGGTAAACAACAACCACTTTTGTGCAAGGACAGGTCTGAAAACACAACAAGCGAAAGCTTGTGACGTAAGCACTAATTAGCTGCAACACAACAGTAGGCACTAATTAGCTGCGATACTATAACACCTCCCTTCCAGCTGTTTCCAGCGCTTACAAGTTCAGGCGATCGGGTGGACGCCGGTTACGCGCCGGACGAGAGTTCGCCACGGGGCTGGGTAGTCCAGCGAGCTGGTGTCCGCTCGCGGGCGCCGGAGCGATCTCTGGCTCAGCGGCCGGAGGAAGCGTCACTGGCTGTGCTGTAGTTGATGACGCTGGAGGCGCTGCCGGTTGAGCCGGAAGCGTTTCTGGCAGAGTGACAGGCGCTGATCGGGGCGCTGCAGGTCCGGGCTCAGCTGCAGGCGGCTGGAAGAGGTAGTCGCTTTGAGAACGTCCTTCATCCCTGAACAGTCCGGTATCACCAGACGTGTATCGCGGCCGGATGTGATCCACATGTCGGCGGAACTTGCGGCCATCTTGGAGAAGAACCGTACAGGTCGGTCCGCATGTCTCGAGAACCGTGCCTGGGAGCCATTTGTACTCGGAGGCTGTTACTTCAGTGATGTAGACTGAATCTCCAGTTCGGAAGGCTCGGATGACAGTGCCCGTTTCGACACTACTGCGGCTTCTCCTTTCCTCCAACGGATGCAGCCGGTTGAGATGCGTCCGAGGAGCACGACGGAAAAGCATCTCGGCCGGAGCTTTCCCTGTTGTCGTGTGCGGTGTGTTCCTGTACTGGAACAGCCATCTTTGGAGCTTCGTGAGCAGCGGTGCTGGTTTCTGCTTCTTGATGCCGTTCTTCACCAGCTTGACCATGCTCTCGGCTTGGCCATTTGATGCCGGGTGCAGCGGTGGAGTGAAGACGTGGCGGATCTGATTGGCGCTCATGAACTCGCCGAACTCCTTGCTGGTGAAGCAGCCACCGTTGTCACTCACGATCACTTCTGGAAGACCGTGCGTGGCAAACGTCATGCGGAGATGATCGATGGTTGTTTGAGCGCTGACGTTGTTGGTGATCCAGACGTCAGGCCACTTGCTGTATGCGTCTACTATGATGAGCAGCATCTTCCCTTCTACAGGACCAGCATAGTCCACGTGGACTCGCTGCCACGGAGCGTCTGGGTACTGCCATGGTTGGGATGCCACCTTCGGCGCAGCTGGTTGATTCAGCTGGCAGGCATCACAGACTTTGGTCACATCTCCAATGTCTGTATCCATTCTGGGCCACCAGATCTGGCCACGGGCTCGGCGCTTCATGGTGCAGATGCCGGGATGTCCTTCATGGAGCAGTCTCAGGACCTTCTGACGGCATGCGGGGGGTACAACGACACGACATCCCCAGAGCAAACACTCGTTTTGTATGCTCAGCTCGGTTTGGCGACCGTGGTACGGCAGGAGGGCTGGCGTTACAGCTGAAGCCTTGGGCCATCCATACCGGGTGTAGTGGAGCACTTCTGAGAGAGTCGGGTCTCGTCGCGTCCACTCTCGAACTGCTTCAATTGTTACCAGGGCATCGTCAGCTTCGAGCATGTGAATGACTTCCATGAGCGGTGTCACTGACGTTTCTGGCACAGTTTCCGGTCTTGGGAGACGGCTGAGAGCGTCTGCTGCGGCATGTTGAGCTGCGTTGCCAGGCGTGTGCTCGAGATGGTACTGGTAGGCATCCAGAGTCACCTTCCATCTCACCATGCGGGGCGGAACAGCGTCTGGCAGGTTTTTGGTCTTGCCAAGCAGTCCCAGTAGAGGCTTGTGATCCGTTCTCAGCGTGAACGATCGACCGTAGAGGAAGCTGTGGAATCGCTTCACCGCGAATACCAGGGCGAGACCTTCCCGGTCGAGCTGGCTGTACTTCTTCTCTGCTTCATTGAGTGTGCGGGAAGCGAAGGCGACTGGGCGTTCTCCACTTGGAGTCATTTGTGAGAGGACGGCGCCCAGGCCGTATGAGCTGGCGTCTGCTGAGACGATGACGGGGGCTGTTCCGTCGAAGTGAGCGAGGCATGGTGCCTCACAGAGGAGTGTCTTCGTGGCGTTGAAGGCGTTCTCCTCAGCCGTTCGCCACCGCCACTCTGCATCTTTTTTCAACAGGGCATACAGTGGGGCCGCGACTGCACTCAGCTTCGGGCAGAAGCGACTGAAGTGGTTGATGAGACCGAGATACGTCCTCAGCTGTCCGACGTTTTCAGGTGCTGGGGCGTCTCTCACGGCTGCGATCTTCTGATCTGTTGGATGCAGACCTTCTTTGTCGATTCTCAGTCCGAGGTAGGAGACTTCCGGCAGGAACCAACGACACTTCTTAGCATTGATTCTCAGGTTTTCTCGGTCCAGGCGTTTTAGCACTTCCTCCAGGTTGGCCAGATGTGCAGCATCGTTGGGGCCTGTGACGCAGATGTCGTCGAGGAACACCGTGGTGTTCGGGATTCCGGCCAACAGAGTTTCGATGTGGCGCTGGAATATGGCAGGACCACTGCTGATTCCATATACCAATCTGGTTGCCGAGAAGAGTCCTTTGTGTGTGTTCACTGCTGTGTATTTCTGGCTAGACTCGGACAGCGGGATCTGCAGGTAGGCTTGTTCCAGATCTATTAGCGAGAACTTCTCACCTCCAGATAGTTGGGTCAAGAGCTCGTCCACTTTCGGTAATGGGTACTGCTCCAGATGACTGGCTCTGTTAACCGTGAGGTTATAACTCCCACAAAGCCGTACTGACTTGCCATCTGGTTTCAGGATGGTCACCAGGGGCGCTGCCCACTGCGCCGACTTGCAGGGCTTCAAGATTCCCGCCTTGATCTGACAGTCGAGCTCCTCTTCTACCAGCGGACGCAGAGCTAGTGGAACTGACCTGGGCTTGCAGAATACTGATTTTATGTCGGGATTTATCTCCAGATGAGCTTCAGTATTTGCTTTTCCAAGTTCTGGCTTCGTCAGGTTTGGGAACTTTTTCAGGAGCTCTTGCGCTTTTTCTTCCAGTGAGGCTTTCACCTGGAAGATGGCCTGCCAGTTCAGTCGCACCTTTGACAGCCAGTTGCGGCCTAGCAGGGGCTTGCCTTCACCTCCCACCACCAGGAGTGGCAGGTGCACTACTTCATCTTGAGCGAGCACCTTCACATCGACTTGACCAACAACTGGAATGGGCTCTCCAGTGAAGGTCTTTAGTCGTTAGCTGGACTTGTCGAGTTTTCTTGTTGGCCACAGCTTGTGGAACAGCTGTTCTGACATCACTGTGACTGCTGCTCCTGTGTCCACTTCCATCTGGACTGTTCTGTCGTCCATGTTCACTGCTGTGACAAGTGGTTCATTTTCTCTGACTTCTGTCTTGTTCACAGGCAGGCGGATTTGCATGACGTACTCATCAGTTGGGCTGTCTTGCTGAGTTTGACTCAAGTCCTGTTGTTGGCTCATGCATTTGACTTTGCCATGCCGACCATGACTGGGATTCTTCCTTGGCGTAGCCTGTGGCTCCTTGTTACGGCAGGCCACCTTTGTGTGGCCCTGCCGACCACAGTGGTAGCAGGTCTCGTTCTTGAATGGACATTCCCAGTGCTGGTGTTTTGGGCTGTGACATCTTGAACATCTTTCTTTTGTCTCTTGGACACGGGGCTTGCCAGTGAGGTTTCTTTTGCTTCCTACCATGTTCTGGGCTTTAACAGGAGGCAGACTGGTGAACCGACTTTGATGGTGTGCCTCCATGGCACGGGCCTGTGCTCTTGCCTGTTCCAGGCCCCTTGCAAATGAATGCAAGTTTTCCAGGGTCATTCTCTGCTGCAGGGCTTTCTCCCTTACCCTGGGGTCTCTGACTCCCGCAATCAGCTGCTGGCGGATTTCGCGAGCAAGATCCGTGAATTCACAGCTCCTGGCCAAATGTCGCAGGCGTGAGACAAAGCTGTCTATTGACTCACCTTCTCCCTGCACGGCTTGGCGAAAAACATCGCATTCGTAGTCAACGTTTTTCTGTGGCACAAAATAGTCACTGAGTTGTTTGCATATCAGTTGATATGGATCCAGCTGCCTCTGCTCTTGGGCTGCTGCTGGGTCCCCCTGATCTGTGGGCTCTGCGGCCTGAGGCATAGGCAGGGATTCGTGCAAGTCAAAGACTGCTGGACCAGCAAAATGCAGGAGGTATGCCTTTTTTCTGACTGGATTTGACACATCCATCGCCAGACACATATTTTCCAGCCTACGGAGCCATCCTGGCCACTCGTCAGGGCGAGATACGTCGAATTGCGGCAATTCCAGCGCGGGTGAGGCCATCGCTGCGCGGGGCTTTTTCGACTGAGTAGCAGAGGCTCAACGTATTTTAGAGCTTGAACTTAAAGTTGCCTCGTCGCCAATATTGTTGCATCCACGTCTGTATTTGTCTAGGCTTTAGACACTGGGCTTATTTCACGGCATGGCCACGTGGTAAACAACAACCACTTTTGTGCAAGGACAGGTCTGAAAACACAACAAGCGAAAGCTTGTGACGTAAGCACTAATTAGCTGCAACACAACAGTAGGCACTAATTAGCTGCGATACTATACAAACAAACAGACAAGCAAACGTACAAGCGTCAATATTTACCTACCTACGCATTTGTTGTCCCTCGTTGTTCCCTCGTGTGTTATACCTACTAGCACACACCTTGGGCAAACAATACATAAATCCACTCTTTATCTGAGCGCCCGTCTCGATGCCAACTGTCGGCTTTGATATCGCCCCAGGACGACCCGCGACATCCGCTGGATCGATGGCGTCGCGACGGCAGCGACGGGCGGCCACTTCAGACGACAGCCAGTCGACGCTTTGATCCTCGCGCGCCCGGCACGCGAGCCGGGGAGTCGACGATCCCCTCCCGCTTTCCATCAGGTCGGCAAATGGCACACAGGAGGGTGTCGCAGCCGCCGGGTCACGATATAGCAGAAGGACTGGATTGACGCCAAATGGGAAGCGCTGTTGTAGCGAAGGAGAGAGTGGCTTGGATAATATGGGCGACATCGCTGCTTGGTGGCCCTCAGGTGAAAAAGTCGCCTCGTCTCATGAGTCTAACTAGGCAGTAGTTTTAGTAATATACTCTCAATATACTGTTGACGCTCCTCGGCTACCCTACATGACAATTGCAGATAAAAATTCTAGATATTTGTCACAAACACATGTTTTGATACCTATACCACACTAAAATCAAAACTAAATAAAATGTAGTCCTACATAAACAGGTCACCCAAGCAAACATATTATTGAACATTGTTACTTAATGAACAAAACGAATCACTTATTTATTATGTTCCGTTATTAAAAAATCGATACATACGCTTTTATTAAGCATCGTATTTTGAAATAAGGCTGAAGGCGCGCCTGATGGCATAAGATTACGCTTTTTGGCATTTCCAATAACCGTAGGATGTAAGTCATGGAATCCATGCTCCTTCTTAGTTCTTCCGCACATTGTTTGCTTCCTTATTACCCGTTGACCTTTGGTTGACAATTGTCTTCGGTGATTTATCACTCATCACCAGCACATTAATACGTCTGTGACCATTAATCACTCTGTCATCAGGACCCGAGCCTACTGATGCGACACGGTCCTCGTTCTTTAGTCAGCACGCGACCAACTTGCAGATCAGTGGCCAAACTTTGCCAGGCGACAGGCCGAATATAGCCGAACCATGATTAGATCCCGAGCAGTACACTGAAAGAAAAAATGACACCAAATGGGGGGTAGGGTGACTCTGCCAAAAAGTCCGCCCCACAGGGGTGTCAAAACAACTCCCTTTTGGAGCATCATAACACTGCAATATGGTGTCCATAAACGCCGTTTCTTGGCGCACGTGGACTCCATATTTCGGAGTTCGGATGCCCAAAAACAGTTTTTTTGACACCCCTGTGGGGCGGACTTTTTGGCATGTTCCCGTAAATAGAGTCAAGACTCCCTTAGGACTCTTTCTTTTTGGGGTTATATGATGCCCCAAAAGAGACTCTTTTGATACCCCTGTGGGGCGGACTTTTTGGCATATCACTTTACATGGAGTCACGACATAACCGAGAGATACTCCAAATGTTTTTTTTTTTCGGAAGTTCCCAGGTGCTACACACAAATCAGACATAAAGTTTACATATTATAGAACTTTGACGCTGCTGAAATTGGAAAATATATGTGAACCACGAGATACGTGCTAATCAGATAACTGAAGTACGGACGTATGACGGTCATGGAACAACTATACGCTGACTGAGAACAGCCATCGACCTATACGGAAGAGTGGACCCCACAAACCAAGCAAATTAAAATCCTCACCTCTGGCGCAGCGCTGCTTCTGAACCAGACCCTCACCTCTGGCGCAGCGCGGGTTCTGATTTCTGAATCAGATCCTCACCTCTGGCGCAGCACGGGTTCTGAATCAGATCCTCACCTCTGGCGCAGCGCGGGTTCTGAATCAGATCCTCACCTCTGGCGCAGCGCGGGTTCTGGCGGAGGATGAGCTCGGCGTCCTTCAGGGCTGCCTCATTGTTCCCCAGCAGCAGGTTACACTTCGCGCGGCTGGCCAGACACGACTCGTCTTTCGGCTCAAACTCTAGAGCCTGTAAGAAATAAAATGAAATGAAATACGTTAGCGTTAACGCTCGTAACTGAAATAGTTATTTGAGTCATTATAAACGTCATCCATAAGAAAGTTCATTAGACAAATAATCATCCAAACTAACGCAGTTTCTCGTAAATCAACGAGTGGAACCGTTCCAATAGGAACAAAAGGCTCCGACGTTTCCATTGCTTATTCCTGATAACAAATTTATTATGAAGGATTGTCGAGGGAGTCTAATGGCAACCACACAAACGTGAGGATCCGCAGATATATGTTCTGAACTTTGACAATAAATAATCCATTTAAATGCCTAGAAGTGCACTAAGTGCAGCCAAAGTTCGAGTCCAATGGCCTGGACGTCCGAGTTAATGGCTGCTGTCTATTAGGTACAGCTACCGTCTATAGTTGGGACTGTTAAGAGACAACACGATTGAATGTAAGGAAGTCAGTATAATGAATTACTTGGCGCTTTTCGTTAGATAAAAAGAGATCCACATTTTATAACATCAATTCCATTTTTAGCTGTTCATTCAGGTCGAAGTAAAATGTCAACATAATTCGTCGGGTGATTGTCGATCAATCAATACATGACACAAACTCATCAATGACCCAAGTAACGTGGAATCAAAACTTTTTATGAACTGAGTTAAATATCAAAATCTGACGTGCTTAATATGATGAATTGTTCCAAGAAACATTTCAAATTTCACATTTCATTTCACATTTCATGCATTTCACTGTCATGCACTGCTAGTCAACAGTTTCGGAGGCAGAAAGGTCGCACCACGCATTTCGTTTGCTTGTTTTTTTTTTCTGTTGGGTGTGCCCCTTTCGGCCTATGTTTTCTCATTCCTTCCATTCCCTCAAGCTAATTATAGGTATTTTTTGTTCCTGCCAGAGCCGCGTGGGGAGAGGGCAAGACCGGCTTTGCCGATTCCCCAGTTGACAAGTCACCCGGCTGCTCAAGCGGTCACTCCGGAGGGTAGGTCTCCCGCATACGCTGCCATCACCGAATATAGGTATATATTTCACGATGGCTCTCACTCATTCCAGATACATCATAGGGCTGCAGCTACTTTTTTAAAGATCCCCTCTAATTTCAGTTTTATATCCGTAACAAAACGATGACCGCAGACTGCAGCCCTTTCGCAAAGGAGGGCGTTATTAAAGGAAGACTGCCACCTTCAAAAAGTTTTCTCAGATCGGCCTATGATTTATTCCCTGGATAAAACAAAATTTTAGAATTCACCTGACAAAGTATCATCACGTGAATCGCGAAAAAATTATCGATTATCATACAATTATCAATCGGTTAATGTCTAGCGACAATGTTTACACATCACTAGACTTCAAGGTCATAAGATTATTACATTTTATTTGAAAAAGTAAGGTATTTTATGATTTACTAATATATGATTTCATAAGAAATTGGCCATGTTTAATTTATTTTACATTTAACTTCGTAAAACATTTAAAAATCATGGCTCATTTGGAATGGGTCTGCCCCATGTTAAACCCCATTTCCCACACTTTTTTTGGAAAAAATGAACTACTGAATATATAAGTTTAACTTTTATTTTGACACTCCAAAATTCTTCTCTGATCTCGAAACAATCAAAGTTTTGACATATATTTGCCAAAAGATAAGAAAATTCATGTTTCAAAGTTATCGATAAACAGTAGAGATGTCGGTTTTCTTGGACTAAAAAAATGGCATCAAACTGAACTTTGGTCTCCGATTTCTCGCAAACGGGTTCGAATTTCGGAAAACCGACTTCAGTCTGGGACATAGGTGGCTCAGCTCTAGTGAAAACCGTTTTGTGAAAAAAAGGTGGCAGTCTACCTTTAATTACGAACCTCAGTCAGACAAAGAATTCCACGCCACTTCGGATATAAGACAATCCCGAACTAACTGCCGCTCCCACCGATAATTGATGCGTTATAAAGGGTCGGTCTTAATCCTTTGCCCATGCCTCTATTGCCTCTGGTTTTTTAATCGTCTAATGCCTATCTCTGCCCGCCATACCTATCTGATGTGACACAGGGCGCGTAGCCTCACTCACGCGGTCAAACAGCTGGATGGCGTAGGTCGGGTCTCCGCGGCGCAGCTCGAGCTGGGCGTGCGATGCGAAGGCGGCGAACGTCGAGTCGTCGGAGACCCAGCAGCTGCCGTGGCCGCGGTTGAGGAAGCGCCGGTTCTTGAGGCTGTACTTGATGTCGTGCTCGCCGAGCGCCACGGCGGCGGCGCGTGCCTGGTCCGTGTACATCACTCCCGGCACCTGCACGTTGCGTCTGAGCCGCAGCTTCTTCAGGAAGGCGCGCCGCTGAGCCGGCGTCAGCGACACCTGCGACGTCACCGACGCTACCGACGAACGACGCGACGGCGTCCAGCCCACCGCAGACGGCGGCGACACCTCGGGAGCGGCGGCAGAAGTGGTAGTATCCGCAGCGTCCACCGCAGGAGCCTCGGGTGCCTGTGTCGCCGAGAGCTCAGTGGTCTGCGGAGCTGGGTCGTTCGTCTCTGGACCTGAGCCTGGAGCCTCGGGAGGCTTAACGGCACTCTGGGCGGATGGAACCGTGATAAACAAAGATGCAGCCTTCTTGGCGTTTTCCAAAGCGATTGTCCCGACCCGTGGCGCCTGTCCCGCCATTTGAGGGTACTTGTTTGCCCCCGGAGGTAGGATTTCTTTGACGATTCTTACACTGATAGTCCGCATATCGCTCCCCCGCGAGGTGACGCTGCTGGCATTACTGGATCCCGATAGAGAGGGCGGAGGCCTCAGCGCGCGAGCTCTGGCCCGCTTCAGTCTCTCCTGTGAGCTCTCTCGGAGCACGAATCGCTCCATGATCTGCTGCTCCTGCTTACCTGACTGCAGAATCCTATCAGCCGATCTTCGAGCGAGTTCTGACATTCTTTTGTTGAGCGGAGGTCTCCTCAGGTGATCTTTCTGTCTGACTCCTCCTTGTGACACGTCACCTCCTGAGTCGTACATCGTTAGCAGTTCCTCCGGGTCGCTCTCGCCTCTCTCCCTCTCACTGCTCTCACCCTCCACTCCCCAGCTCTCTCCCTCTCCATCCATGTAGCTCCGGCTTCTCATTCTGCTCTGATCTGCTGGCACTCCGAGCCTCTCTCCACTCCCGTCCGCCGACTCTGCACGGAACTTGACCGCTCCGAACACACTCGTGGCCGTCTCTCTAAGCCGGCGGAAGCTGGCCGTGGTGGGTCTGAGCCGCTGCCGACGCGCCGATGTTTGCCCAGGCGGCGCCATCAGTTCGGCGTCACTCCAGAGGGTGATGTCGCAGCTGCTGCGCCGGCCAGTCGAGCTCCCGTCGCTGTGATCGGACGAGGCGCTCCTCCTCAGCTGTCGGGGCGGAGGCGAGGAAGGCGGACGGCGCGCCAGCCGGCTCGGCAGCAGCCGGCTCCCGAGACGCACCCGCCGCGCCTGACGCCACAGCTCCGCACCGCCGGCCAACGCGTCCTCCTCGTCCGGGTCTGGACTGAGAACGATGGCCTGGACCGGGGCCACCAGGCGCGCTCCGCCCCCACCGCCACACGAGGCCATCACTGCCGGCGTAAACAGTGATCACGGCGGGCTGCTGATGGCGGCGGGCACGCACGGTGGGTCGTGGACACGCCCCTTGTCCGAGGAGACACGCCCCTCCCCGTCCGGAGAGACACGCCCCCTCCCCGTCCGGAGAGACACGCCCCCCGATCGGAGAGACGCGCCCCAGATTGGAGAGACACACTCCTTCTAGAGAGGAGTACTCCGTCGGGATAGCCAAATTGCTGTGTCCGAAGAGACGGACCAATGTTCGAGGAAGGTAATATTCCTTTTGCTCTCGAAGACACGCAATTCTTTGAAGACAACAGGTGGCACCGTCAGAGCACGATGAGAAGCTCGAAACTGGCAGATGGCTGATATTCCACTGAGGCGGAAGACGGTTCCACGAAGACACTACTCACGACGAAATACAAACACTCCAGTGCTTTTAACACATCACCACCGGGCAATGTCACACCAGACTGGCTCGAAAACAAATATCGAAAATAAAACAACCAATCGTACTGAATCGCTAACCACACCACTCGCCACCTTCAATCCACCTCCTGCCCTGTCCACCAACTGAGCTGGCCAGTGGGCGCCGGTGCGCGCGGACCGCCGTAATTATCATTATCTCCCACTAACGGGGGCCGCGGCGACGATTGTGTCCGGCACCCGAGCGTGGTCGATGGGCGGGTGATTGAGCAGCGGCGCCGATGCGCTGTCACGGCCCGCTCAGAAAGCGGTGCCGACACGCGACAGAGCGGCGCTGAACGCTGCCGATGGACGCTGGAGGTCAGCAGGGTGGACGCTAGAGGTCACTGATGGTCAATGGAGGTCACTGATGGTCACCAGAGGTCACTGCTGATAATCGGAGGTCGGTCGTAAACGGTCAGTGGAGGTCAACAATGGATGCTGGAATCTGGAGGTCAGCGATGGACGCTGGAGGTCATCGATAGTCAACGGAGGTCACTGATGGTCATTGGAGGTCATATATAAACAAAGATCAACGGAGGTGTACGATCGTCACAGTAGAGATCACCGATGGATACCGGAGCTCTCATTCAGAGGTTAACGATTACCTACCGTTTGAACTTTGATGGCTCAACGGCGCTGATGAAAGAGATTGGTCATCAATTTATTGTCGCTACAAGGTAGTTCAATTATCATTTTGCTTAAATTTCAGGTCTTGATGTGATGTTTCCGGACTCTGGCCTACATCGGCTGCCACCCGGTCCCACCCGGTTGCCATTGGTTACCATCGCTTCCCCTCAGCCCGCCTTACATAAGTCGACGCACGTGCTACCTGCATCGGTCGGCGTTCGATAGAAAAGTGGCCGGGCTCGCGGCACGCAACAGTCGAACGGAGCGCGGCCACCGGCTTCCACACGGCGCAAAGTTTGGAGGAGCGATTGAAACCGAAGTCGCCGCTGTTCAAACTTTCAGAAACGTCGCACACGGCACAAGTGGTGTTCGTAGTGCTTTGCGTGACAGTAGCTAATTTTGCCGTTATTCATCGTGCATTAGAGCGTTTAGGAAACATTTTAACCCTCGCCCTGGCAGGGGGGGGGGGTCGATGCGACCCCCCCCCCTAAGGTTTTTCGAAGATAGCGCAAAAACGGCGGCGCGCAGCGCCGCCAAATTTGGCACAGCCTATGGGGCAACCTTTTTACATATGACCTGAAAATTTCAGGTCCGGGTGACCTTGGGTCAGGTCACCAGGTCAGAAAAACCGGTACAAGGTCATGGTCAAATTTCAATTTTCTTTTTGCACCTGTCCAACTCACAGTTTTCGACTGATTTCCTTCAAACTTTCAGGATGTGCTAAGTTCACCGAGTTGTATAACATATATTCCGGGTTTTTTGAGGTCACTGACCTGAGGTCAGTTAGAGGTCATTACGTCGTAATGTTAAGCCTATGGGAAAATACTAAATTCGGAAAATACTGGAGATATCCGCTTCGTTCTATCACTTTTGTGCTTTGAAACCACAGTACTTAACAGCAGGTCACTTGGTGCTTCTTTGTTTGGTGTACTTATCCATGGGTCAGGTCAAATGAGGTCAACTGAGGTCAAATGACGTTTTTGCCAATAACTTGGCACATAATGACGCTAGAGCTTAAAAAATGGTATCATTGTGTTCCTCGTGATCAGCCGAATCGAATGATATGCGATATGATGCAATTTGGCTAACTTGAACTTAATTTATTAATTTAAGTTTACTTAAAATTTAAGAAAAACTTTAAGTACACTTAAGCAAGCTAAAAAGTATATCATTCGACGCGCCTTGACGTGCTGAGTTTACTGGTGCTTTTCTTTTTGCTCTATCTTAATTAGATCAAAAGTTATAAGCGAAAAACTGTTGACCTGTTTTTAGCGAAATTTTTACATTTATACCCCCCAAAACCCCCCTAAATATTGACCTAGAGCAACCAAATTTGCACAGGGGCGAGAAATCCAGGGGGCCCACCTACCTACCAAATTTGGTGTTTCTAGGTGCCATAGGAGCCAATCGCGAGGGGGGGGGTCGCATCGACCCCCCCCTGCCAGGCCGTGTTATGAAAAATGCCCTGCCAGGGCGAGGGTTAAGTAAGAGCACTGCTATGCTTCGATGCAGTTGAGGACGAGTATGTCGAGCTTCGACCACTTACCGATGCTTAGGACTCAAATGGTCTTAGTTTAATCTTAGTAGCATAATTTAATCTGTATTTAGAGTTTTTGTTGCAGTTTAGTATTTCACATATTTACAATCACAATCCGTCTGTGACTCTGTGAGTTCGTTCGCAGGCCGCAGTGGGCCCCATTGGCCACAGTATAGGGCATGAGATGGTTGGTCGCAGAAGGCTGAATTTTTTTCGGCGCGTAGATGACGTTACGGACCAGTGAGCTTTTGAAGTCTCCAATCGCCGGGATGCACGGTTGGATCGTGGCCCCGGGCCCGCATGACCGTCTAGCGAGGAGCTTTGAGCTAAATCACTTTGTCTCATTTAACCCTATTAGCAGAGCTGGGCGCGTTCCTCGATGTTCGTGGCTGAGGCCGACGACGCCGAACCGACTCGTGGTGCTGCCGGGATACCAGCTTCTCCGCGCAGACCGGTCCGACGGCAGGGGTTACGGCGGTGTGGCGCTGGCGACCAGAGACGGCGTCTCGGTATCGCCTATCAAGATGCCAGCAGACGCCTCCTGTCCCGGGAGTAAACTGGAGACGCTCTGGACACTCATCAAACCGGACAGCAGACGCCAGTTCGTCCTGTGCACGGTATACCGCCCGCCCCGTCACACCGTCGCCGACCTGACTGCCGACTTCACGGACCTTCAGGCGCAGCTTCAGCACGTGACTGTCAATTACCCTCACCTCAAGTTGTTTATTAGTGGCGACTTAAACTGCTGTTTTTTGAAGTGTGACACGCACCCAGCCAAACGTTGCCTTTTAGAGTTTTTATCGGATAACTCCCTCGTGCAGTGTGTAACGTCTCCTACATATTTTACTGGCTCTTTGCTCGATGTTTTCATCACCAACTGTCCCGACATTGTAAAGTCTTGTTTTACGAAGTTTTGTCATTTTAGTACACACAAAGTTGTTCGCGCCGCTATCGGCATGCCCCGCTGTAGGCCGTCACCAACTGTTATACTCTCGCGGAGTCTTAAAAGAACCGATTTTACTATGTTGAATCTCGACCTCGCACACACCGATTGGGACGCTGTTTTCTCCACGCCAGCTGTCACCGATAAGTGGAGCAACTTCTTGACGACTTTCTTACCCGTTCTGAACGCCCACGCTCCCATCAGAGCCGTCAAGATCCGGAACCCTACTGCCCCTTTCGTGTCCGACGCCACTAAGGATTTGATGTGTCGCCGTCGGGGGGCGCTAGCGCGGTACGGGCACGGCTCGAGCGAATACCGCAACGCGAACAGGGCGGTACGCAGCGCTATCCGGCGTGACAGCCGTGATGACGTGGAGCGGCGCATTCGGGAGAGTGGGCGCCGGGGCATGTGGCGCATTATCAGACCGTACGTGGGTAGTAGGCGGGGGTCGCGTGCTGTGCCCAGCACATCGGCGGACCACCTGAATGATTATTTTGTCAGTGTCGGACCGCGAGTAGCTGCCGAGGTACGCGGGTCGGGTGATCTGCCGACCGCCCCTTGCCGTTTGCCGCGTGTGGGCGCCTGTGCGTTCGTGCTGGCGCCGTTGTCGCTGTCAGAGCTGCGTGCTGTCGTCTTCGGACTTAGCAGCTCGTCGGCCTGTGGCGAGGACGGTGTCAGTATTCACGTGCTCCGTGCGTGTTTTGAGTCGATCGGTGAGGTGCTCCTACATTTGCTCAACTCCAGCATTACCCAATCCGACGTCCCGCACTCCTGGAAACATTCCCTTGTTCATCCCATCTTAAAATCCGGTGATTTGTCTAGCCCGTCCAACTTCCGTCCCATATCCATCGTACCTGTCATCACCAAAATCCTAGAGCGAGCTGTCCACCAACAGCTCTATTCCTACCTGTCTGAAAACCATCTCCTATCTCCTAACCAGCACGGTTTCCGACCTCACCATTCCACGGAAACCGCGCTCGCATCCATTTCCGACCATATCCTATCCGCATCTGACCATGGAGAGGTTTCCCTTCTCTGCCTGCTGGATTTGAGCAAATGTTTTGATGTGATTGACCACTCGAAGCTCCTTTCAAAATTACAGGCGCACGGAATTGACACTTCATGGTTTTCCGCATATCTTCAAAACCACACTCAGAGCGTCAGCTTCACTGACAATCACGGTGGAATCAAAAAGTCCCGCCCGCTACCCAACAGCATCGGAGTTTTTCAGGGTTCAGCCTTAGGCCCCCTCCTCTACTGCGTCTTCGCCAACGACCTTAGTCAGTTTGCCGAAGGCGCAGTAGTAGTACAATATGCAGACGACACACAAATTCTAGTAAGCGGCAAGAAATCTCAATTTCAATCACTCGTCACTCGTATGGAGGACACATTGGCCTCTCTTGACCGTTGGTTCCGGGCCAACGGCTTAAAAGTCAACGCCGCTAAGACTCAGCTGATGCTGTTGGGCAGCCCCCAAAATCTTCGCACATTGCCTGAACTTAAAGTAAAATACCGCGATCACGAGTTGTCCCCAGTTTCCTCAGCAAAAAATCTCGGCATCATATTTGATCGTCACCTGACCTGGGGTGATCATATTACAACGCT